AATGCAGTTATGTGAAATCAATGAGTCAAGTATTGTTATCTGAAAGAGATATTATCATAACTTATGGGTGTGCTGCTCATATGGTGAATCTTTTAGCAATTGATCTTAACATTGAAAATGTGAGCAAGCATGTTACACAAATAATAAAATATATAAGAAATAATCATCAAGGTGGAGCAATTCATAAATTAAGCAAAGGAACAAAATTGCCACTTTCTACTGAAACTCGCTAGAATTCTGTATGTGATTCACTTGAAAAAAATGTCAACAACTGGAGCATTATTTTTACAATGTCTGAAAAAAATAAAGATTTATATACAGATAAAGCGAAACACAGAAGATTTATTGAAAATATTGAAACCAATTGCAGTAGCTCTAGATAAGTTGCAAAGAGATCAAACAAAAATAAGTGACTCTTGAAATTTTTAAAGATTTGATGAACAGTTTATCATTTTTATCAAACGAAAAAAAAAAAAAATTGAACCTAGATACCTTCAGACTGTCAGTGATGCTCATTTCCTAACAAACACACTAGATCCTAGATATTTTGGATCTAATCTTTCTGAAAATGAAAATGAAGCTGCCATGAATTTCGCAGATAAAGAGTTCAAGAATTTGTTACCAATATTATTCAAATTAAAAGCCAAATCTACTATAACATAATGGAAATTGAAGGTTTATTAAATGCACCAGCTTCTAGTGCTGGAATCAAAAGAGTTTTTTCAACTTTTGGTCTTGTTCATTTTAAGTCAAGAAACCGATTGGGGGTAGAAAAAGCGGCAAAGCTTGTATTTATATATAGAACGTTAAACAATGATATATTAAATAATTTTGATGAAATATAACAATAATATTGATAAAGATTATAGTTTACTCAAATAAAATACGTTATGCTTTTTTTAATTTAAAAGGATAACTAAATACCGCATTTTTTAGTAAAAACCTAATTTAAACCAAAAAACCCATGGTTTTTTTGTTGTTTTTTTAAAAAACCTATGGTTTTTGGTTTTTTTGCAACCCTGGCTAAAATATTGTAATCGAGTACCATCAGTATCTGCATTTTTTTTTAGTATTGATATTAATAAAAAAAGATTCAATAATTTACATCTTCTATAATGATGTATGTGACCACATTTAATATACACAACAAACAAATTATAATGTTTGGTACACAAATAACTCACTTTAAACATTAATAAAGATTGCTTTTAATTCAATTCAATAATTGCCATACTAATAATGATTGTTACATAAATAATTCACTTATTTTTGCACCAGGAAATTCATGCGTGAACGTAAAAGCTTGATATATGATATGAGTCAACTAATAGTTTAGGACTGTAGATTATTAGATCCAAATAGAATCCAATTTAAACTTTTATACGATTTGTTTTAAATTCGAATAGTGAAAAACTTTTTATGAACAACATTGTTTAATAATATTCAGATATGTATTATGTATTAGTTATAATATATATATATATATATATATATATATATATATATATATATATATATATATATATATATATATATATATACATATATATATATATATATATATATATATATATATATATATATATATATATATATATATATATATGAGAATATATATATATGAGAATATATATATATATATATATATATATATATGAGAATATATATATTTATATATATGTATATTCAAATTACATTGCTTTTTTAAGTATTAGTATGCAGTATCTATCTTTTTTTAGTAGTATCAATATCAGGAAAAAATTAGGTATTGTGTAAACATTTGGCAGAGCTCTTTTTTTTTTTTATTTGCATTCACTCCCAACAAGGCTGCAAGCAACCACTATTAAGTTGGGAGTTACTAGGAAAAAAAAGAATAAAGCTATAGAGCAAGAAAGCGGTTGACAGAAGACTTGAAAAGTTGAAGGTTGTATGAGTCAGAAAAACATGAACATGGGAGAGAGTTCCAAAGGATTGAAGTGCAGGGAAAAAAACTAGATGAATAAAAGTTTTTAGAGCATGCAGGGACAGATACAGTAAACGAATGAGACTTAGCTGAATGACGAGTAAAACGAGAATGAATTTTAGTTGATGAAACTAGAGATAATAACTCCTTTGAGCAGTGACCATAATAGTATTTGTAGAAAAGAGAAAGAGATGCAACTTTACGACGATAGGAAAGAGGCTCAAGCATAGCAGATAGTCCAGGTCCATAGCATAGCAGATAGGTCAGGAAATAAAGAAGAGTGTTGGCCTTCAAGGATGACTTTAATAAACCGGTTAGAAAGAAATGATTTGATAATCTCAAAAACTTTCCCAGAAACACCATATGAAGCAAGCTTATGGAGAAGACCAGCATGCCAAACTTTGTCGAAAGCTTTAGATATGTCGAGAGCAATAGCCCTAGCCTCACCGCCTCCATCTAATGCACGATAAAATCTTTCAGTTACAGCAGTTAGCAAGTCGGCCGTAGAGCAAAAGAGGATCGAAAACCGTATTGATTGTCTGACAGTAGTTTATTTGACTCAAGATGAGATATGAGGAATTTGTTGATCAAAGACTCAAAGACCTTGCTAATAACAGAAAGTTATTTTAATTGGACGATAATTGGAGGGGTCAGAATTTTCTCCAGAGTTTTTGAATATTGGAACCACAGATGCCATTTTCCAACAAGCAGGAATACAAGACTCAGTCAAACACTAGTTAAATAGTTTAGAAAGAATTGAAGAAAGTTCTGAAGAACAATTCTGCAAGACTGTGACAGGAATGTTGTCTGGACCACAAGCTGTAGACGAGTTTAATTGAGATATGACTTTAGCAACAGTAGCCGAAGTGATTTGAATGTCTAACAATGGGTCAACCTGTTTGACTGGAATGGAAGGAAGAGAATGTCCATGAGATTCAAGAGTGGAATTAGAAGAAAAGTTCTTTGCAAATAGTTCTGCCTTACCTTTGGGAGAGGTAATAAGATCAGTCCCATGAATGAGAGATAGAATATTAAATCTACCCTTGTTAATAATGCTGTTGAAGATTTTCCAAAAGTCTTTAGAGCCTAACTTCTGTGATAAGATGCGAGATTTAGTAAACTGAGAATAATGGAGTTTAGCATCAGAAAGCGCCTTTTTAAATCGATTTCTTGCAATAATAAATAGCCGTATGTTCTTAAGAGAGTTGCGTTTTTGAAAAAGATGAAAAAAATGATTACGATTGGATATAGCAGCCGAACAAGAAGGAGAAAACCACGGAGTAGAATGAGGCTTGACTTGAAACCAACAAGAAGGAATAAAAGCTTCCATTCCAGCCTGAATCCAGGAGGTTACGTAGGAGAAAAAGCATCAGCCCAAGGACCATCACGAAGAAAATCACAAAAAAAATCCCAGTCAGCTTTAGGGTAGTAGTAGGTGGTGCAATGATAAGGTTAGCCCAAAAAAGAAGTACAAGAAGAAAGATTTATAGAGATCATTGCATGGTCAGAACCACCTAAGGGAGAAAAGGGAGAAACTGAACATAAGCAAGGGTCAGAGACAAGACATAAGTCAAGGAGTGAAGATAAATGATTAGGGTTGTCAGGAAAACGAGTCACAAAGTTAACTGAGTAAGAGATTGAGAAACGCAGAAGTTAGAGGCTAAAGCCTCTGCCAGCAGGATCAGTGGTGTTAGAGCCAAGCCATTCAGTGTGATGGGCATTAAAATCACCAACAACAACAATATTGGCAGAGGGGTAAAGAGAGAGGGCATGGTCAATTTGATCAGAGATAACATCTAAAAGAGTGCAATCATGGGAAAAAGGAGAATGATAAAGAACAAAGAGAAAGGTGATAGAGTGAAGAGGTGCTAGGCGAAAGCACATAAAAGAATGGTCAAAGGATTTGAACCTGATTTCACGACAAATAGGGGAATTAATGCGTATGTATACCCCTAAACCTAGCATGTGACTATTGGAGTCTTTACGAATCAAAGGATAGTACCCATCAACACTGTCATCTGAAGAAGGAATTGCAGAATTTAAATTTGTTTCACTGAGTGCAAGCAAGTCTGGTGAATTTTGCAGGAGGTAAGACTCAACTGACCGAAGGTTGCTTCGCAGACTGCGAATATTTGTAAAAGATATATTAAAACATTTAGGTGGTGGGGATGGTTTTGTGGGTTTTAAATTTTTGGTTACTTTGGTCATGATTTGGGTTTAATGAGAACTTGACTCATTCATAGATTGAGCACAGCCTCCTTATCAATGAGCTATGCAGTTGTCTAAGTCCTGTTAATTAACCCTAAGCCGTGACATAGGGCTCCTTATGTGGCCTTGACAATGCACACCAAAAGCATTAACAGGGACACCATCCATGCGCAACATGGCACTGTTAATACTCTGATATTTTGCAGCTGTTGATGGAATCAGCCTCTCTGAGAGCTACCACAGAGTTTGGGAAACCTTACTACCAGCCGGCCTCAGAACCATTAAACTGTGTTTTAGAGCTGTACCCTCATATGGAGATAACAGGAAGAGTTGCATAGCCATTATTAAGGAGGCATAAGCAAAATTCTATGAGTAGAGTCAAGGAGATCCAGCATTCATCATTCTAGGCAGGAAACAATGTAACACAGGTTACATCTACGCCAGCCTAATAGATGAAGAAGGGGTTCGAGGCTGGTTAGCAGAATTTTTCTGTTTACCCCTAAAGTCTTTGCGTAGGAAGGCTTCTACAAGACAGTAGCTGAATGCAGTTAACATCTGCCCAAGATGAGTATTTTTATCGAGACACTATCTCTAGCCTTTACTCAACCAAGAGCCCCAAGGCAGGGGAATTTTTAGTCGGAGTTTATTTCTTCTAGCCTTTGCCTAAGAAGAACACACTCTGCAAGGCAGCAGGGCTTGTGGCAGGTGGTACTGGGTTACGTGATACCAGTAGCAAGATTGATCTTGATTATCCTGACCTGACCTGAGCTCTTTAAAAAGTAACCTCATTATAATTACTCAAAATGTAGTTTAAATAATAAATGTATACCTTGGTTTTCATTTTGAGATAATTCTGCCTTGATAAAAGGTCTAATGCGCAAAAAAACTTTCATAGGCTCCTTTTCTTTATCTGCATCAGATAAAACTAAAAAATTCAAAAAAATATTATTTAAAAGATTTGTATTAGAATAAAACCCAACCAACAGTTAACCTTATTTTTATGTATTTTGCAAACCATGTCACAACTAATGTTGTCATCAATTGATCAACTCAGTAACATTAATAATTATTACCCCTAATAATTACTTAAATACTTAAATAATTATCAGGGGTGTATAAGTGATAATAAAAAAGTTATTAAGTAATTTTAGTTATTTTCCAAACAATGAATTATTACATACATTATTGTGTGATAGTACTATATAAGTATAGCAAAACATAGCTTAATTAAAAATTTAATTTTAAAGAGCAAAAAACATTATGTAAATCATTTTATTAATTTTAACTAATAGTAAAAAAAAGTCCAGCAGCACCAAAGCGTCTTTCTACCTCAACTGATGATGGTGGTAAAAAAGTCCAGCAGTTTTAAGTATTTTAAAAACTTAAGAACTAAAAACTTACTGCATACTTTATGGATACCTTCTTATAATATAAATTATTACACTAAAATAATTTTTTTTCAACCATTAGGCTAATTAAAATTCTAGTAATTCCTTTATTTTACATGTTTAACAATTTAAATAACTATATTGCAAAACAATTATTAAAAATTTATATACATTTTTTTAGAAACTAATTGTTGTTAGTATGAAGATTTTCATTAAAGTTGGTAAAGCTTTTAAATAAAAGAAATTTTTTTCACTTAGTAATATTAAAATAATAATTCACATGGTTTTTGTCCGAAACAAAATATTAAGTAATAATCTTTTTTTTGTTACTTAAATTATTATTTTTGTTTTAAATTAATAGAATGATAATCAAAAAAATTATTAAAAAGTTGTAAAAATTATTATTATGTAAATTTTTGAAAACATAGTATAGCATTTGTTTTATAGCACTATTCCTAGTGTTTTTATTAAAAGAAAAAAAACTCATTTGATATTAATATAATATTAAAAAAAAAGCGTTATTTGGCCATCCCAAATACATAATTTTACTATCCTGCAGGACACAGTATAATAGTACTATCTATACTTTATCCAGACCGATAGCATAACTATGAAACTAATAGAGACAATGTGCAGTAAAGGAAAAACAGAAAATATTTATCACATAACATAATCCTAATTTTAAATTTTAGTTTATCATGATTTTAACAACCAGAATTAGATTAAAGACAGCGATGATTTTATTAGACTTAAGTTGCAGCGATGCTGCAACTTAAGTCTAATAAAATGCAATATATCTATTTGTAATTTATATTAATATTACAATAAAAGTCTAATGAAAATGCAATATATCTATTTGTAATTTAGCAATCATTTAATTAAATAAGTTCAGTTGTTTATGAGACATTTATATGATTTTTTTGAATTGTATCTCAGTCAAAACTAAAAAATTACATTAACTCTCAGATTTTTAGAACAACCATGATATTCTGTTATCCTGTATCCTGGCAAATAGTAAAATCACATAGGTCAACAAAAACAACATAAATTTCTATTGTTTAAGTTATCAGATGTAACTTTAAGTGATTTTAAAGTGCTTCAAAAACAACAGATTTTTTTTCTAGATCCTTGCCATACTTATGAACAGATATTCCAAACTTATATACGTACGATCCTTGCCATACTTATGAACAGATATTCCAAACTTATATACGTACGATCCTTGCCATACTTATGAACAGATATTCCAAACTTATATACGTACGATCCTTGCCATACTTATGAACAGATATTCCAAACTTATATACGTACGATCCTTGCCATACTTATGAACAGATATTCCAAAAGGCAACAAAATATTAGGACTAGAGCTTTTATCCAATTGTAATTATTATTTTAAAATATTGTTCTAACAACATATGGACTTCATAACTTAATAATTATTAATTATTAAGTTATGAAGTCCATATGTTGTTAGAAAAATATTTTAAAATAATAACTACAATTGGATAAAAGCTCAACTTGTCCTAATATTTTGTTGCCTTTTAAAAAGTATGTTCATAAGTATGGCAAGCATCTAGATAAAAAATGATATAATTAAATAAAAAATATCTAATATTCGTTAAACAATATTTTATAATTTTTTTATTGTAATTACTTGCTTTTCAAGTTTGACATGTTTAAATCAAAACAAAAATTCATTCATTTTTTTTTCAATTTATTTTTTCTTTTTTTCTCAAATTTATTCAAGCATAGCAAAGTTAAAAATATTACTTTTAAAATGCCTGTTGTTCTCACATTTTTTAAGCGCAATTATTATTTTATTAAGTTATAAAATCTAATTTTCATTTATTTTATTACTTAAAACCATTTAACTAATAAAATAATTTATATGTTTACGATTTTTTTAGAATTATTTAAGATAAGAAAGTATATTAAAAAAGTTTAGCTTTGTTATAGTTATGTTAAAAACATGCAGAGAAGAAACATTAGTTAAAAAACTTTTTTTTAATTTGATAAAAGTTTAGACTTCCATTAATTTGCAACAGACGCAACAGTAATACAGTAAGCAAACTTAAAACAATGTTTATATATAAGAAAAAAAACTGTTTTTAGTATTTTTAACTTTTATTTTCCCTCCATCAATTTACATATAGTTACAAGTTCATACTATACTACAACTAAATATTGAAAATCACCACCTCTACTACTGGAGAAATAAATGCTAATTTCTTGTAGAGGTTAAACAAATGGATGTTAACTGTCTACTCATTTTGTTAAACAGTTTGCTGTTTTAAACAAAATCTTCGCCTACAGCACATAAACTAAATTTGTATTTCTAAATGACGTTCTTTCTATGAGCAATCTAAAAAACTATAACCATTTTTTTTTGTAAAAAAAAACAATATATACTTAATTTACTACACAAAATTTAATTGCTACATTCTTTAAAATATTATTGTCTAAAGCTATGCTATTATAAAGAAATCCTTTTATAATCAATTAATCATTACCCATATCGTAACCGAAAGCAAAAAATCCTTTTTTTTTTTGCCGACCTGAAATCCTTCGGATTTCGCTGACTGTTAATATGTTAATGGTTCAGCAAAAATTTAAGCCTTTTGACTTATCTTTTATGTTGGGACTTCAAACACTTGTGTCAGTATTCAGTACTCAGCCATTAATTTCATGCTCTATTTTTCTTGATACTTAAGATGCCATTTCATTAAATGATCAATAATAAAGCTAAACCTGTAAAAAAAAACATAAATAATTTGCTACTATCTTTCTTTTATAATTTTATTGCTCTAGTGGAAACATTCACCCATTTTCTCACTTAAAAATTCTTATTTTAGGACCATTAAAATGGTCTACTTGACTTGCTTCATCCTACAAAACCAATCTTTCTTTATTCAATATTGATGCTTGACTCAAATCTCCCATTAATACTTTCATATTTTTGCAAAATAACTAATTAGAATTAAGCCATACAGATTATCTATATACAACCATACAGATTGCCAATATGTCTTTCAAACTTCACTTGTCACTATCAACACCATTCTCCTGGGCTGTATTTTTCCTTGCCTATTTTCAGAAAAAAAAACTTCAAAAATATTAAAATATGCAAAAAAAAATTTGAAAAAAGAATATTACAAATTTGGTGTCTCTCACTCAATAGTAAGTTATTTATGTACTGGCTGCAAAAGATTCTTTTTAGTTTACATGTTAACACTTCTGCAGATTTCTTTAATAAATTTATTTGCCTAACTAGATCATTTAACTCTTTGATTAAAAAGGTTGGTGTACTAAAAAATTGTCAACAAAACCATACAAAGACTTTTTCTTCTGTGTCACTAAAATGTCCTTTGTTTCATTTCTTGCTGATAAAATTCTTGCTGATAAAATTCCTTCTACATTATAGACACAAATGTAGCACTTGTTAGTATACCAAAATTCATAATACTTTATTCTCGCTTAGTCTACTGTTGTAGATGTTTTGTGGTATTTTTGCATTTGTGACACCCATGTTTTTTGTTGGTGTCCAAATTTTATGGAAAAGTATGCTAAGTAAGCACATTTACTGAAACTTTGTTTTAATGAAACTCTGTTTTAAAGTATAATGTTAACATTATGAATTATCAGAGGGTCATTCATAACAACTTATAACAGAATTATTAGGGTCATGACAAAATTTTCTTGGTAAAGTCAATAGAACTGAAAATACGCTATGGTCATAATTTTGTAAATCTATGCATTATAATGATAAAATATAATACCTTGATATGTATTATAATGATAAAATATAATACCTTGATTATAATGATAAAATAATACCTTGAATAATATTTAAGAGAATAATAAGAATTTTAGAAATATAAGGAAAAATTAATCTTCAAGGATTTTTGCTATAGATTTTTGGAAGAATCCAATTATTACAAAATAAAAAATTTAAAACTGCTGCTTAAGTAAAAGTAAATAATGTGCGAGTGTTATAAATTTCAAAACAACATTTTATATTATAATATAAACAAACATATTTACATGAATCTTATATTAAAAATATGCCTATTTGCCCATGCTCATTGTGTCTAAATTTTTTTGCAAAACTTTCTAAGTAGAAAGCTAATTCCAAATAGAAAAAGCAAGGCACTTGTACTAATTTCATAATACTTTATAATGTATGCTAATTTTGTTATACTTTATTTATTATGTAGCTTCATTTGATGATAGAATCTTAATTACACAACAACTATTGAAAGAACTTATATAAACTCAAAATATGGTACAGACTCAGTGAAGCACTCTCTAACTCTTTTTTTTCTTAAACAAAATCAAAATCAAAACATAGTTTTAATCCTTAAATTTAGCAAAAATCATTACACTATAAAACTTTATTTTTTTTAATCTATAAACACATATAGTCTAGAAGGATTTTATAACTACTGGCATTAAATCCCTAATAGTATATGAAGCATTAGGCAACTCCATGTTAAATAACGCAGAAATTTAAAAAAATGTCTCCTTATATTTCAGATTTTGCTGATTTTTGTACAGTTAAGAGTGATTAGTAAATTAAGAATTCCTTGAAAATTTTAGCATCTGGCTCCAAGAAGATCATAAAATATAACTATATTACTTCTAACAGGTATTGGCCAGGCCCCTCGTGTCCCTTTAGAATTGCAACATTTATTTATAGATTTCAAGTTACATAACTTTAGAAATATTCAATTTTTTTACTTAAAAATGTGTACCTGGGTATTTTCAGGGGTGGCAAATCCAATGAAATGATCAGAAATGTAAAAAATTATTTTTAAGTACCTGTATTTATCAATTTAAATAAATTTAGGCAATTTTTTATATACCTGATTTTAATGCTCAAGAAACCCATGTGGCCTTGATGATATCAACAAAAAAAATTATTACAAATCATTCTATATTCATTGATCTTTCGAAAAAAATAAAGATTTTGATCTGCAAGTATATGGATTTCTATATATAGATAATGGGACATGGTACCCACTTTTTGTAGCAGAGTATTGCAATTGATTTTTCACTACCTTTCAGACTAGCTGGAGCTCTGAAACTTTTGGCATTTCTGTAGTGCTGATGAATGTACACATTAAAGTTATTTTCAGGGCCCAACATACCAGGAGAAAGGCTGGGTCATACACCTTTTTTGATCATTCTGTATTTAAGATCTTTCTTAAAATGTTTTAAGAAAGCACATGTTTATAAGATTTTTGATCTGCAAGTATATAGATTAAAAACAGTCCATCTAAATGGTTTTAACATAACTTTACATTGCATAATTCAAAACTTTTTGAATTGAAAAGAAAACAAAAGGAAAATTTGGCAAAAGACTGCTGTATTGTCTTAGGTGATTTTGCAGAAAACTACATGTTTATGATTCAAAATGAAATCCTAAGTTACCATTGGTGTCAAAGTCAATGCATATTACACCCTGTTGCCCTCTATTCTAACAGAATCGCGCGCTACTTTGAAAAAACATTTTCAGCTAAGTAGAACAATTCCTGGAATTAGGAACTATATTAAAAACCCGGAATTTATAGAAACTATTAGCTTTTAACTAACAAGTGAAGATTTTAATATAACAGGCATGTTTTCATTTTCTGATTTTCAAAGTATTTTACCTAATCAGCAAAGTAACATCAATATAATAAAAATTAACATTAATACATTGAATTTGGTGAATTTGTTGTGTAAATGATACGTTACATTGGATTTCTATCAATGAAATTGACAATATTGAGCAAGATGTTATGGTAACATTTATGCACCTGCACGGTCCTTTTAACAAACTTTTCTGACCATCTAAAGCAGATAAGTGTTGGGTTCCAATTACCAACATAATTTGTACCATTAATACATTTGTAACTTTGATTGTTGACGCATCTAAGCAAATCTTAATACAATCAATCTTGATATTCTTACCTATTATTAATAGCCAGTTACAAATTTTTAAGTAAAAAAATCAAACATTTTTAAAGCTATGTGACTTGAAACCTTTAAACAAAAGTTGCAATTTTGAGGGGACAAGAGGGGCCTGGACAGTATCTGCTAAAAGTAAAGCGGTCATATTTCAGGTTCTCTTGGAATGAGATGATTAAAAATTTCAAAGAATTCTTATTTTACTAATCACTCTCATCTGTGTAAAAATCAGCAAAATCTGAGATGTATGGTGACATGACCTGACATGAAATTACCCATAAGTGACATTTGAATTTTATGTAAATCCTAAAAACTTTGGAAAAGAGTAGAGATAAAAAAAGCTCTCTTTTACAGGATACTTATTTAGCATTTGCTTTACTAAGAATTTAGACTTAACTAAGTTTTAAATAAATGAACTCTACTATATTTTAAAAAAATAATGATATTTATCCCTAACAATGCATTTTTCATTATTTTCAAAATTTCAGTTTAAAGAAATAGCAAATATATTATGTCAAAACAAAAAGTACACTTAATTTCAAGACAAAATAAATAGAGAGAATTATTGAAAAAACATTATTAAAAAGATATTTAAAAATACTTAAGGCTTATTGATTTTTTGAACTTAATAAGAATAATAAAAATGCTAGAGTCTAGTTCAGATGGGGTATTATCAACTAATACAAAGAAAACAAGAAATAGCAATAATATGTAAGTTTATAGTCTACAAATAATATTACAACTATAAAATCATGTTTTAGCTATATTTTTTAAAACTTCATAAAATATATTTAAATACAATTTAGGGTTTCTCATTTCCAGTAAATTTAGCATTGGTGTGTAATAATTTATCTTAAGATTTCCCAGCATTACTTTTAATATATAACAACAAGCGGTTTCTGACACAAATCTATCTTAGCACACTAATCTATATTACTATTTAAAATAAAATAGTTTTAAAAAACATAAACAATCATGTGATTTGTTACTTAATCGCTAACAAATTTTTTCCATTAATAGACCCGCGGCAGAAAAAGCTCTTTCTGATCAATTGATGTTGACTTTATGGTCATTAATGTTGAGTATATTCTTTCTAAACTTTCGCTATGCTTTCCAGTGGCCTCAAAAAGTTTGATTTCTTTTGCGAGGTTTTTTAAATTGTTAATGTTTTCTAGAACTGCTTTTTCTACTTGTTTGACATTACAAATAGTCTGAAATCTGACAGTTTGTTTTGAACTAGATCAAAAATTTTTTCTGAAGGAAGTGATCCAGCTATCGGAGTCATTCCCCGGTTCCAAAACTTTGTTGATAAGTGTAAATTTACATTTAAATAACGTCAATTTTTTAAAGATGTATATTCATCTAATGATAAAGAAAATTGCGACCCGCTAATAAAGATATTCTTTAGACCCGCTAATAAAGATACTCTTTAGCGAAATTTCTTTTGTTATCTCTAAAACCACAACTTGTTTATCATATTGTTTTTTTTATCATACCCATAACATGGAATGGATTTTTTGGTAATAACATGCCTTTTTCAGACAATGATTTTCTTATGAATTCACTTTTTGTTATGGCATTTATTGAGAAGCCATCCACTGTTGCTAACTTTGACACAATTTCCTCAATAGTTTCAATAATTTAGAAGTTTAAAAATCAAACTTACTGTTTTCGTCGCAAGATATCTTTTTTATTATTTTGTTGTTGTAAGCTATTATCAATAGTTATGCAGCTGCATACCAATAATTTGACAGTGCAACAAATTCAACAACATCATCTGGTTATCAATCTAACTTTAATGAAGATCATGAATCAGATGGAGATTTTACTTTACAATCAGTATGCTCAAGTAAAAGGTTCTACAACATTACGCAGAAATTACAGAGATATTATATCTTCTAAAGTTGCAGTTATACTGGATGAACAAATACCATCATTAGTTTAAAACGTCTAAAACGATTCTTGCATCATTATATAACGAAGCTAGTGTGCCCTTATAAGAGAAAGTATTACCCTAAAGTACAATGAATTAGCACCATTAAGCACACACTAGAAGCCAGATTAAATCTTTTGCTAGTAGTTTCAAATGCAACTAAAGCATTTCCCAAAAGTCAACTATAAATCAATTATTTATGAAATGACTATTATGAGTTTTATTGCTGTACTGCACAAATGATTGGGCTGCTGGTTGATGTCACTGTTTGCAGATCTAGTGTGCAACACAAGACACACTGGATGGTAAGAGACATTTCTACATTGAACTACTAAAGTTCTATGTGTAAATGACTTTTATACATTGAACTTTAATTGAAGCCTAGTCAGATACTCCATTTTCAAAGTTGAAGCAGAATTTGTAAGAAATCTGGTTTGCACCAATGATTTTGCTGAGTGAATAGATAGAATTATGTTGATACAACGTTTTAATTCAGAATTATGTTGATACAACATTTTAATTAAATCATCACTAGAAACTAAGAATGAAAACACTTTTTTGCTTCAAGTGTTGCAAAACATAGGAAAAACTTTGCAGAGTATAATCGTGAACAGCTAGCAAAAATTTAAAATATTTAAATAATCTACATAAATAATTGATTAATATTCTATCAAACTGAAATTCTATATAACCTAGTTTTTCATCTTTTTTTTTTTACAGAAATTTTGAAATTTTAAAGATATAGGGCATGGCATATTTACATATTATGAAAAATGTTAAACTTAAGTTGTATTCAACATTGTCAATAGCTTATATAATTGGAAAATCGTCATATCAAAGCTGATAAAAGTTGAGTGTAAGTGTCCACTCATTTTAACTATCAAAACATTTTAACAATATACTTGTGAAAATGCATTATGTTTATTATTGTTCAATTACTTTACGTTGTCCCAATCTATGCTCCAGTTATAAGTTTTTTTATGATTTTCAGACAAGTGAGTAATTGAACAAGTCTTGATACTTTAGATGCAGCACTAGTTAGAAAAGTTCAATATAAAAAAAATTCTTGTGCAGATATAGCTGACATACTTTTATTAGATAATATAGTGAGTTTAATACTCACCAGAAGGAAATAACTTGACTGCAATATTATCCATTTTCTAAGCGATTAACTTGTTTACAAATTTTATAAAAATTATTGATTACTTTGAAAAATTATTAATTACTAAGAAAACGCTTTTCAAAAATTTGATCCGTAAATGTTTTGGCGCTAAGTTTACATCTGGACAAACGTACCTAATGTAAATAATTTTTTAAAGTTGTCTAGTAAAGAACAGTTTTAACTAAATTTTTACGAAAAAGGTTAATATTTTTAAATATCTGCAATTATTACATATGCTTATAACATACAATTATTACATACTTCGTAATTATTACATATTCGCTTATTTTTATAGAATTTATTATATATAAAAAATGTTTATCGTTATATCGTTATTAAAAAAGACAACCAAAAAAATTATAAACATTTTCATAAAAGCTTTTTTTAACATTTTTCAGAAAAGTTCAATACTTAGTCTTTTTTATTGATTTTATTATAGTATGATTTTGGTTGATATATCTAGTTGAAATTTTTTGATAATTTGTTTTTAAATAACATTCAAATTAACCTAACCGGCATTTGGTGCCGGCTAGGTTGTTTTGAAACAGACGTTTTGAACGTTCTGGACGTTCAATAGACTCAAAAGACGTCTTTTTATGACTAAATGCCGGCTGAGAAGATTTACTGAAGTGATTCATTTCTAATTTTATATTAAGATATAAATTTGGAGTTAGTAAATAAATAAAATATAAGATAAGATTTATCAGTAAATAAAAAGTTTTATATAGTTGTTAATTAAATCATCTGTATATTGATCATAGCTTTTTATTATTTTGTAACTTATCTGTAAGTTTTATTTATTTAAATTACCAATTTTTTTTTTTTTTTTTTTTATTACAAAAATTACCGATTTTTTTTTTTTTATTTTGGCTAAAAATCAAGTTTTTCAGACATTGTACAGTGGGCCAGTAGGTGGACAAAATGGAAAAAAATTTAGTTGTTTAATTTTAAAAACTTATTTAATTTTAGAATCTACATATATTAGGTAAAACTTATTGATAATTTATTTATATTAAATCCCTTAGTTACCAGGACTCTAAACATTTGAAAAATAAAATTTAAATAAGTAATTTACGGTGACATTAACGCTGTGTTATATTTCAATTACATCTACGTTTTTGAAACATTTAGTACATGTTATTCTTAAGAGCCGTTTTTCTAAGATTCAGGCAAATTCCTGAAACTGTGGAAGTGACCTCGTCCAAATTGCTTGAATTTTTTATATATTGATCAGAATATAGAGAAAACCTATTGGGGAAAAAAAAAATTTTCAAAAATGTTTCGTTCACTCTGAATCTGGGCTTAAATTTTTGAGATTTTTTTAAAAATTTTTAGAAATTTAGTTTTTGCCACCTTTGAACCCATTTTTTTGGCAAGGCAAAAAGTTGCACATAGCTTTTGTAGTTAATATCAGACGTAACCCAAAAGCTCTCTCCAAAAAATATAAAAAAGTTGCGTGACACTGTGCGGTTGGCTAATTATCATAGTTCAAAAATACAAAATCAATCAGTTTTGTCAATTTTTAATCGGAGTTAATTCTAGCGGCGAAGTGTTGCACACAATTTTTCTTTTAGGATTTGAAATTATCAAAGGTATTGAGTCTAAAAATGCAAAGAAAGTTATGTGATACCTAAGGCCTATTAATATATTAAGGCTTGAAATTGGAAAAAAATGTTATAGTATACTTACAAAATGAACCATTACGGCAGAGGCGCTTAGTTTTGTAAAAATGTAAACATATCCAACTGTCAATACAAAAAGGTCCTAACATAATAATAAAAAAAATTCGTGTGATTTTGTCACACGCATGATATAACATGAATTAAAAACTGAACAAAAATCTAACATCAAGATAACTATTGCTAATTAAATAAAACATAAATCAAGCATTTAAATATTTTTCCATTTAAAAATTAGCTTTTCATTTATTAATAGAGTCATTTACGCACATTATCCACCACATCACACATAATTTCTACTCTGCTGCAGTAAGTTTCTCTAAGAATAATGATATGACTGTATTATAGTCTTCTTCGGATAATAAATAATCGCCACAACCACTGATTAGAAAAGGAGCATTTACTAAACAGATAATTTTATCAGTTTGGTTATTTGTCTCCTCGGTAGTAACTGGCCAGCGAAAAGTATTCTTCTCTTGCCCGTTAATCATACAATTAACTCTGATCCCAGTTATAGATACCTAAAAGTATTAGCGCAACATTTAAAATAATATAATAAAGAGTTTATGATTTGTTTAATTTTGCTTACATTCAATAAAACTTGTAAAGTCTTATATAATGTCATTCTGAAATTATTTTTACATTTTATTTATATTCCTTTTATTTTAGAGCACTGTTTTGTAAAACAAAATAAAAACTTGAAACTAATATATACTTTTAATAATATTACCTCCACAATATATCCAATATTCCATTGTTTTTCATATGCAACAGCAACCCAATCATTCACTTTTCATACAAGACAAATTTCTTTTGCAAGATTGGCGATGTCTTCCTCATATTTATTATCATCTTCATTGTCTCCTGTCAGATTAAAGTCATCATTTTCGCCATAAACTTTATTGTTATCGTTAACCTGACTATTTTCATTATTTTCTGTTGTCGCTTCTACCAGCTTACCTTTTCTTTTCAGGTTACTAAATCTATAACAATATCAATTGTACATATTTTTAAACATATGTAAACAAACACACAAAATTATAAATTTCACCTAAATTTTAATTTCATATTTGTAAAAGAACTATTTAACAGTCAGAAACATAATCTAATTTGCAAAAGTTTTGATAGCAACAATGCCTACCTTGAAAATAAAGATCTTATCTGTTGGCCAGTTACATATTGATCAGGCGGAAGTTCTCTCCTCAGCTGCATGTGAACCTGCTCAGGGCTCATTTTATTACCTGATTCTTCTCCACGAATAAAGTATTTATAGAACAGTTCTTTCTGCTGATTTGAAAATCTAAAAGAACTTCGAACTGGTAATGCCCAACCTTGCAATAGAAAAATGTTCATGCAATGTGGTTTGTCTTTTACGGAAGCACTGTTAGAGGATAAAGAAACTGGCATATTTAGTTGTGAAGTAATTTTTATCTTATGAACAAACGAGTTGCGAACTTTATCCAATGATGTTAATGATTTCGGAACTGTATGAAGACCGGATAGCATGAGTTCTTCTAACTCAGCATCGCTTTCAAATGATAAAGTACAATTTATTTCAGTGCAAAATCTTAATGAATATAATTGCCTGTCACTTCTTTTCTGTTTTTCCTTAAGTGACTTGTTACGCTTAATTGAATTATCTGTTTTGCTAAATGGCAACAACAACTTAATCGAGGGTTGAATTTTAAGATTTCCATACTCTTGTTCAATTCCCTAACCGATATTGAAATAACGCCACATCTTCATACTTTTCTCACCAAACTCAAATGAGTGATAGTTGCTAATGTTCTTAATCTTTGGTCCAGTAACTACAGTTTTATCATTGCTAATTTGAGCAACTGCTACTTTTGCATCTTTAGCGCCAAAACTATAATGCATAGCCTTGTGTATATCTTCAGCAGTCAAAAGATTATTACCAGAGTCAACGTAACTTCTTAAAATTGTCTTTACAACTGCACTCTCCCTGTCACATTGATCTTTTCCACAACAGGGTTCATTATAATCATATCTCAGCAACTTTATATCTCTTGTAGATTGCTTCAGCTGAAAGATTTCCCTGATAGCAGCCGGCATTATCAGATTTGGTAAACATTTTCTTGATATGCGGTTGATCAATTCTGAATTGGTCTAAAACTGCAGTGGCTAACGAAACAACATCACCTATTCCCTGATCACACCTATACATTGAAGTAAAGTAAACACGTTTGAATAACTTTCCTGCTATTTTTATGAAGAATATATCCACATGTAAACTCATTCCTTTCTTGCCAAAATACTCTCTTTGGCCCTCTCTGTATCGAACTGGAAGAATTTTTTGACAAAAATCTTTAAGCCAGAAAGCAGTTTCATCGTTTAATTGCTTAAAAGCTTCGATTTTTGCCTTTTTCTGTTGAGAATCTCTCATCAGGTGTTTTATGTAGTTGAATACATCCTTTACAGCATATTTCAAATCATAAATAGAATCAGCATCGTCAGAATTTCGAATTTTTAGTTCTTTGATCATCTCGATAGCTTTGCACAAATCATAGCAATCGGCACATACCACTTCTGATATATCTGTGTTGGATTGAAGATTTTTTTCAGATGGATCTGATAAGGCATGTTTTGAGCTATGAGAAGAAATGTTTGAGTCATTGACACTACAATTGGTTTGATAACTTGTTTTCAAATACCTTTTTCCTTTTTCAAGGGCAGCTTTGAGAGATTTAGAACTAAATCTTTGTGCCAATTTTTGTAATGTTTGAAAACCATTCATGCCTGAAGCAGTAACATCATCTAATCCAGCTAAGCTTTTTCGACTTGAAGGTTTTATTGCATGCAATACTTTCCACAAACTTGAATCAGATAATGGTATATAATTGTTTTCACTACAACTTTTTCGATAAAACATGATAGCGTGGCTATATTTTGTCGTCAGTAAAGCATGCTCAATCTTTTGTTCTTCACCGCTGTCGTATTTTAATTTGGTTATTCCATAAGCAACATCATGCAAAACACCGCTTGTAAATATAAAGTCTAAGAAATGTTCACACTTTGTTTGATCAAGACTAGATCGGACGAATACTTTCTTCTCTGGAAATGCCAACCCTTTATGAAATGCATGCCATTTTCTTGCTGTTTCTATACGATGTTTGGTACACTTAAATGTGTTCATTATAAACTTTTTGGTATACTTAATATGGTCTAATAATGAGAGGATAACTAACTTTCCCATGGAATCACTTTGCTTATATACTTTCTGAGCACGAATAATTTCAATTGGGAGAGGGCTATTTATTGCATCAACATTTTTACTGTTAAGAAAATCTATACGTATTTCCTCTTGTCCAGGAGCAACAGCTTCCGCAAATTTTTTCTTTAATAAGTTTTCTAGGCGAACATACTTGCGTTTTAACTTATCTTTAGTAGTATCTTCCAGATATTCGAACTTCCTTTTTAATCTAAATTTTATTGGACTTGCATTAAGAACCTCAGTTACACTCTCACGGCTTCTTAGAGATTCGTCCAAAATCTCCTGTGAAACATTAATTTCACCGGGATCAAATTCTTCATCTGGAGTAGCAGGTGTCATATATGTTTGTTCTTGTTGTGTTTATGTTTCTGTACATAAATTGGTGTTTTCGTTGACTCTAGATAAAGCAGTTTCTTGCTTTAAATGGGTAAAACACAGCATTGCACCAACTGAAAATACTTCATTGTATCGCTTTGACATTGATATGACGACATGTATTGGTGACGCCCTTAAAGCGGGAGATTTTTTTCCTTTTATATTTAGATGGTGAGGATGAAAGCATGTTTTTGGAGGACTCCATGCAATACCAAACGTGTACCGGTGAAAAGCACATACTTGTTCATCCTTTTCAAGATTTCTTTTAAGTCTATTTGCAATAAGTCCATTTTCTTCCCAAATATTATTATCGTTTAATCGCATGACCTAAAAACAATTTTTTAAACAATTATTAAGTGTCATTTAAAGCATTGTTTATAATCTGACTCTTCACGAAAAATGTTTACAAGTTTGAAATACATTGATGTTATTATTAAAATACAATATTGCAAGAGTGTGATTAATTTAGTGATTATTTATTAAAAGAGTGAAGAATTAATTAAAAGAGCTATTTTTTTTTGTTTAAAGAACTTTGTCTCAAAATCTTATTGCAGAGAAGTTATAAAGTATGTAATTATAAAAATTATATTACAGTCTGCGTAAATTTAAAATACATAATTACCTTTAAGTTGATGAGGTGTTTCTTAACATCAATTTCTCCTAGCTGATGAATGTAGAACATTTTGTTTATAATTTTATGTTTTTTGAATGATCCACAATTTCCTTTTGAAAAGCAACAACAGTTTTCATAAAAATATTTGTTTTGTTCCATACTCAACTAAAAACAAGTTCTATTTATGCAGTACCTATTTCTCAATAGCAATGATAAAATATCTACTCTATTTATGCAAATTTTAAAGATCGTTAAAATAAAGTTAAGACATTTTTATGGTAAAGTAAACAACCGCCCACTAACTTGTTTCTCCACAATCGTGATATCAGCGATTCTTCTTCCATTCGATCACCACAAGTTATTTGGTTATGACGTAAATTTAAATAATTCACTTCTGATCATGTATTGTTTTTTATTATTATTTATTTCAATTGTTATGATTTCTATATCATAGTCAGAAACGCTTAAATTTTTTCTTAACATTACGTGCAATGTTTTGTGTAATGCTATTTGCTAATTTTGGATGATAGAAATTTTATTGTGAGCGAAAACCTCATCTGTGTGTCCAAAAAAATATCTCTTCGTACTTAATCATTTTTAACAATTTGTACCTTTATTTTTAACTTAATATCTAAAGATCACATGATTTTTTTTTTAAACTATGTTAGGGTCATCTTATATTGACCATTTAACATGATTATATTTTTACAAAACTTAGCGCCTCTGCCGTAATAGCTCATTTTGTAAGTATACTATAACATTTTTTTCCAATTTCAAGCCTTAATATATTAATAGGCCTTAGGTATCACATAACTTTTTTTGCATTTTTAGACTCAATACCTTTGATAATTTCAAATCCTAAAAGAAAAATTGTGTGCAACACTTCGCCGCTAGAATTAACTCCGATTAAAAATTGACAAAACTGATTGATTTTGTATTTTTGAACTATGATAATTAGCCAACCGCACAGTGTCACGCAACTTTTTTATATTTTTTGGAGAGAGCTTTTGGGTTACGTCTGATATTAACTACAAAAGCTATGTGCAACTTTTTGCCTTGCCAAAAAAATGGGTTCAAAGGTGGCAAAAACTAAATTTCTAAAAATTTTTAAAAAAATCTCAAAAATTTAAGCCCTGATTCCGAGTGAACGAAACATTTTTGAAATTTTTTTTTTTCCTCAACAGGTTTTCTCTATATTCTGATCAATATATAAAAAATTCAAGCAATTTGGACGAGGTCACTTTCATTGACTGCCTGATTCTTACAAAAAATGACTCTTAAGTATATAGAGATAAGAAAAACCAATGTGTGAAATAAATATGTCATAGCATGTTATCTTAGTTATACTTTGAAAATCAGAGATTAAAAAAAAAATCTTTAAGAAATTTATTTTTTGCCGCACTATAACTAATAATTATCATAATTTACCATGTGCTGTCTTATATATATTTAAGCTATATGATGCTTCAATCAAGTTTTAACTGATTGTTCGTCCCCTTAAATCCCCGTTCAGATTTTATATATATTTTAACTTGGTTGCTATGGTACTGAATTTGAGTTGCATACGATACTGAATTTGAGTTGAATTTTATGGTACTGAATCTGAGTTGCATAGTATATAAACAACATATTTTCGGTAGTTGTCAGTAATTTAAATTCTAACACTAACAGTAATTTAATTACTTATAATTTTAATTACTAACACGTTTAGTAACTTAATTACTAACAAGAATTAGTAGTCCATACGGCATATATATTATAAGATTAAGCTTTTACATACAAAATATTTGTTATAAGTATTATTTAGATATGGTTTTATTAAACTTAGACATTCATAATTTTCTCCAAAAAAATAATCTTACTATTTCAAAACAAAATATTACTAAAGATATATTGAAATTTATTCAGTCAAAATTTGCTGAATTTAAAGATTAATTTTAGACATGCTGTTCAACGATTTTTTTACTTGTATAAAAAAAGTGGAAATCTACAAATATACTATTAAAAATTTTGAAAAGAAATTTGTAAAATGAATATTTAATTGTCAGAAAAAACAACAACAAACCAACTGCAAGTAGACGTGATCGAAAACCAGTTGCATTTGATAATAGTTCTAACAAAATTAAAAAACGGCGCGTATCTTGCTAAATTGAATCCCATTCATCCAGTGAATTATTTTTTGCTGCTATTAAAAAATTTAGAGATGAATCTGTTGTTAGTGCTGCCAAGAACGTCTTAAATATTTCAAACACAGATAAAGCAACTAAATATTCAGCAGGTGAAGCACTAGCTTTAATAATTGATGCCAGTCTGGCAAAAGCTTCCTATCAATTGATTAGAAGTGGAGCTTTGGAGAAAGAATATAACCTCTACCCCGCTTACAATGATGTCAGAGATGCAAAATTGAAATGTTATCCTTCAAACATAACAGTAATAACAGTAAACAAGTTTTATCAGAACTTGACATGAACAGAGATTTGAAGTGTGAAGAATCATTATTTATTACTTGTCTAGTCCAATTGGATTTGACATCTCTGCTAAACAAAAGATTCAGACTGATTTCATGAACAAAATGAGACTTGTTGATGATTTTTTTAAAAGTGGTGGCTCTGGAACAAGCAATGATAGCAATACCTCAAGGCGTGCTTTTGCAGCATATGAACAAACAGCTGAAACTCTGGGTATTGATCCAAACCGTATATTCAGATTTTACATTATCTTGGTAACAATCTCTTCAGGATATGAAACAGACAGCTTAAAATTCAAGGATTATTGTTTTGACACTGTTAGACTATATGGGTCCCTTTATCCATGGTATTAAATGGCTCAATTAGTTCACAAAGTATTGATACATGGACATGATATAATTAAAAACCTTACATTATCCATCGGACTTATGTCAGAGGAAGCTAAAAAAGCTAGAAATAAAGATTTCAAATCTTATCGCGAAAATTTCAGTCGAAAAACATCCAGAAAAGCAACAAATACTGATCTTATCAATAGACTTCTAGTTTCCAGTGATCCTGTTATTTCATCACTGCGTAAATCAACATCACACGGAACAAATCATAAAGCATTTCCTTCAGATGTTTTACAATTACTTAAACAATCTTTAAACGATGTTATTGTTTTATAATTTTTTGATGTAATTTAAAATTGACAATATTTTCTTGCACTATTTTTTTGTTTTTTCTATTGCAAAAACATTTTTATTCTAAAAAATCAATTATTATTCAATATAGGTGGGTCAAAAAATCCGATAGAATATTCAAATATCAACTTACATCTTTGTAACTAAGAAAAGTATCTGGTAACTAAGCAATATTAGGCAAGTATCCATAGCAACTAAATTTAAAAAATTATCACTTTTATAATAAGTGTGATGTCATATTGGTATTTATGCCAAATTTAGGGAATATAGCACTCACAAAATATCTGCAGATAACAAAATAGGTTGTTGCTAAGCAAAATAAAGGTATCCATAGCAACGAAATAAAAAATATTACTTTCATTAAAAGCGCAGACATCATATTAGTACTCATGCTAATTTTAGTAAATATATCTCTAATATTAAATTAGTTATGAATTTTGTCCTGTAAAAGTGAATTCTGGCTCACTGTGCATTGGTATGACAAGGCTCTGACTGAAACTTTTTATATTAGTCTAATTTTAATATATATATATATATATATATATATATATATATATATATATATATATATATATATATATATATATATATATATATATATATATATACATATATATATATATATATATATATATATATATATATATATATATATATATATATATATATATATATATATATATATATATATATATATATATATATATATATATATATATATATATATATATATATATATATATATATATTTCTCGTCAGAAATATATTAAATATGAGTTGTAGAAATATAATATTTCACTTGAAATACTCAGAAGCAATTTATTTTGATAAAAATAACTAAGTGAAATTAACAAATTCGCAACTTTCTGGAAATCTTTACTAATATATAAAATATTATTTTTTAAAAAAAGTATATCGCTAAAGTTTTTTATTTTCCGAGGAATTAAAATTTATTTATCAAGTAACTAAAATTTGCGTTTTTCTGTTCCGCACGTGATACCGCTTCAAATTTAATTTATTCTTTGATAACATTAGTAATGTATACCATTTTTAATTTATAAAAAATTAGAACTAAATGAGGGTAAATTGGAGATTGCCAGTTTTAATTTTATGAAAATAATAGACAAAACATAAACGAGTTTTTGTGCGTGATTTTTTGGAAATGCTCAGCGTTAAATTTAGCATTAACGAAACCAGGTCATGAACACATCAAAATAATGACTTTCTTTTTTTATTTAAAAAAAGAAAAAGTTGTTAGTTTGATGGGTTCATGACCCGGTTTCGCTACCTGATTTTTGCTGATATATGCGTATAATAGACGTGTTTCCACAATTGCACACGTAAGGGCTAAATAAGTGCACACACACAAAAAAAATTTTTTCCTCTTTTTTTACTTCATCGTTAACAGTCAGATCCATCAGGCTGATCAATGAATCCTTACATTTTTGTTACAAATTCTCATTTATTCTGCAAACTATTTTGTTATAAAGTCTTTTTAATTAACTCATTTTTCTTCAATATTAGTATTATAAGTAATTTACTTGGGGAAAAAAAATCATGTACAGTGACGTTGAAAATATTAAGAAAACCATCTTTAAAATATATATTAAAATATATCTTTAAAAAAGTATGTTTTAAAGTACTTTGTTTCCTTTGAAAAAAAAAAAAAAAAATTATTTTAAATATATTTTAAAATTTTAAAATAGTTTTGAAATATACATTTTTCAACTATTTAACCTTTTGGTAATATTTTGTAAGTATTGAAAAACTTATGCAATAAATTTATTTCAAAGAAGATTTCTTTTAATTTAAAGTAAAATTGTCTTCTAACGAATTCTCTCTAAAAATAATTACAATAAAAAATTTGTATGCAATTGGAATTAAAAATTTATATTTTGAATACGAACGGGTAATGCTTTATAAAATAAAAAAATTTAAACTTTGAAAATAATGTCCAAATAAAAATATTCAAAATGGTCTATTTTTAAAAGCTTATTATATCAAATCATAAATAAGATAACCTTATAAACGTTTAAAAACTAGTTTTTTGAGCAACTGTAGCGCAGCGCTTGCCTGTTAGAGATCGCTAGTTCAATACCACCTCTGGGTAAGTTTTATAACATCGGTAAGGAAGGAGACGTGAACTTCCTATCAAATGCTCTTCCGCGGTGCTCTGTGATAAGACCGAAAAGACTTCTTAGGGCATCTAAAATAAAAAATAAATAAATAAAAATAAACAAAAAAACTAAAAGTTTGTAAATAAAAAATAATGAAGTATTTACCCGGTAGGAAATGAGCTAGTGACTAGCGAATTTTCAGCGTGATTACTTATGATAATAATTGAACTTATAACATTACGACTTTGTCGCCTGTCGATTTACCACCGGGTACTGGTCAACAACAACAACAACAACAACAACAACAACAACAACAACAACAACAACAACAACAACAACAACAACAACAACAACAACAACAACAGCAGCAGCAGCAGTAGCAACTAAAAAAGCAATAGTTAAAGCAAACTACAGCAAAATAGACTAATGTGCGGTGCTGAATAATAGTGTTGGAGATGTATGGCTGTTTAGTGGCAGATAGCTTTTTTGTTGTCAAAAATAAAAATTTTTTGTTAGGTTAAGCAGGTATTATTTCTGCTGTTAAAATTTAAACATTTTTTTCAAAAACTTTTTGGTTAGGTTAAAGCAGGTAAATTCTTAGCTTTTGGATAAAATTAAAATACTACTAATAATAATAGCAATATATTGCTATTTTTTATCATTGCATTTTTATCATTATCATTGCTTTACTTATTATTATTATTATTGTTATTTTTGCTATTATTATTATTGTTACTATTTTTATTTTTAATAATAATAATAATAATAATAATAAGTAAAGCAATGAACCTAAATTAAAATAAAACGTTTAACTCGATTTGAATAACTTTACTGGTTCATTTTATTTTATTTTACTGTTTATTTATTGTTGTTGTTATTTTTAAATTTTTGAATCATGATTTATTATTTGAATTTTTTTCTATAAGTAATTCACGTTAATAACAATAACATAATTTAGTAGTAATAAGGCAGAGAGTGTTACTAATAATTCCATCGTCGATGTGTTTTTTAACAAATCCGTCATCGAGGTTATTAAGTCAGACTAATAATAATAGCGTCTTTTTTTTTTCAATGAAAACTTTTAAAATAAAAAAAAATTCTTGGAAGCTGTTACATTCAATTTAAAGCTTAAAAAGACACGCGAGGTAATCTCTTTTTACGGTAGTCTATTTAAATTAAATTCAGACACTCTGATAAAATTAAGCATAGACTTGTAAAAAAAAAAAAAAAAAAAAATTAAAAAGAAGCAGCAATTGTTGTTGTTGTCGCTGCTTAGTTGCTTTGCCAACATTTAATCCATTCAATAACCACTTGTTAAACTCTTAAAGTAGGTTGGATTGTTCATTGACGCGTTTTTTTTTATGGGCTAATTCTAATCTTGGTAATAAAATAACTGACTTATTTGCGACTATAAGTTTATTATACCACTTTACATGGTGAAAGCAAAAAGTTCATACTTTTTTATTTCTTTAAATTTAAAGTCTTTAAAGAGCAGGATGAATTCTAATTTAAAAACCACTTTTATAATATGAAACCTTGTAAATAAAAAAAAGTTATTTTTTTGTAATAACTCCTGAAGGAGGAGAGACAGCTTTAAATAACTGTACGTCATGAAACTTACACTGATTGGACGTAGCAATATCTCCCAATTATTTTTATTAAGTGTCTTTTGTCTTTAAATCCTTTAAAACCTTTTATGGTGATAAATATTTATCAAGACTAAGTGTTATTTTCAAATATATTACTTTTTAGCTGAAGGAGTGCCACTTTCTAGTTACTTACTTTAAAGTTAGGACTGTTTACTGCCGAAGCTTAGAAAATGCAGAAAGCTAAGAAATATGACTGGAAAGATTCGAACATGGCCTTGTTTGGCAGTGATACAGAGAAAAAGGTTAATTTTATTTTTATTTTATGTTATTAGAGCTAAAAATAAAAAAATTTATTAAAGTTCAAGTTTAAATAATTTTTACTTTTTAGGTGAAGAAAGAGTCTGCTGAATCAGAACCAGCATGGCACGGTGCGGGGCAAAAAGTTGGACTTCAAATATGGAGAATTGTCAAGTTCAAAGTTAGTAAGATCTTGTGAATAAAATCGTTTTTGACATTAATATGCAAAAAATTAATATAATAATGATAATAATAACAATACTAATAATAAAGTAATTATCATTAATAAAAGTTATTATTTTGTTTTAAAGAATGTTATACTAAATTATTTGTTTTAAACTACTTCTTTTTATGGAGACATTAAAAACTATTATTTTATTTGTTTTTTTAGTAATATTTCGAGACCGATAGACGGTCTCATCATCAGACTATAAAAAAAGAAGATATTTTTGTAGTCTGATGATGAAAATGTCTATTGGTATCAAAAATTACAAAAAAACAAATAAAGTTATTATTTTATGAAACCAATGTATTTTTCTAATATTATCAAATAAAATCTGTTAAATTTTTTTTTACAAGTTATAACTGAAAAATTAAAGCTACAAAATTCCATTATATACTTATTCTTTTGGTATAACATAAAGAAACACTATCTGTATCTCTATAGATACATTGTCTGTATATATATATATATATATATATATATATATATATATATATATATATATATATATATATATATATATATATATATATATATATATATATATATATATATATATATATATATATATATATATATATATATATGTATATATATATATATATATATATATATATATATATATATATATATATATATGTATATATATATATATATATATATATATATATATATACATACATATATATATATATATGATATATATATATATATATATATATATATATATATATATATATATATATATATATATATATATATATATATATATATATATATATATATATATATATATATATATATATATATATATATATATAGGGTGACCAAACATACTCTTTTTTAGAGTATTATACTCTTTTTGAAGTAAAAGCTTTTATACTTGCTCTTTTTCTGAAAATCATTTAATATACTATTTTTTATATATAACAATAAATAAATAAATTTTAATTTTTGAAATTAATAATTTTAAAGTTATTCATTTCAAAAATTTATCAGTAAAAATTGTGTATCTTAACACAAAAATTGTTAAAATTGTTGTTTTTGAAAATCGACTATGAAAAATAATTAGAATTGCAGAAACCGAAGATCTGTTTTACACAGTTGAGGAGGTGATTTTATTAATCGAAATCATTCATAATTTAAAGTGCCTTAAATCTAACATTTCTTTTGACTAGCTTAATACAAGAATACTAACAAATTTAAGTTTGATAAATCTATATCTCAGCTATGATTATTAAACTATTTTAAAAGTTCTCTGTTATTGATGATAAGTTGCTTTTTGTTATTGATGATGGTAAAATCAGAATTTTAACTCTTATTATTTTATTAAATATTATTCTGAAAGGCTTTATCTGTTCCTTTAAATTTAATTCTGATATAGAAAACCTTTTTTTAATATATAAACAAATCCAATACAGTAGTAAAGCTTTAGCTGCTGGAAATGCTTTTTGCATTTGTATTAACTATATTATGAACTAATCCAAAATGTAAATATTTCTTTAGCTTAGTCTGTCAGTATTCATTTTCAGCTTAATATTGACAGACTAAGATAAACAACATTGAATGGCTTTTTTCTTCCAAGACAAATGCCATTTGGAAGTTAGTACAGTTGAGAGTGTAATAAAAGTGTTATTAACTGCATGTAGGACCATTGTTCTTACATTCAATTAATTATATGAAGAAATTAAAGAAAATTAAAGTTAGTTACATAAAACATAAAAAATTCTGAAAAGTATCTTTAAAATAATTTCATATAATAAATAATGTACTAACAGATTATGTTAGCTTTACATAATTTTAGTTGAGTTTTTTAACCGTTTTTACAAATTTACATTACCAGATAAAATATCTTATCATACCACCATAAATATCTGACCCTTTTATGCAGCTCATCATTGGTTTAACAAAATATACTCTTTTTCTTTTAAAAAAATCTAGTCAGCCAGTTTATATATAAATATGTGTTTAGATAAGCATATGCTTACTTGTTTTGCTTATCTTTATAGCATACAGCTTTTTCAGAAATATAAGAAAAATGATTTGGCCTCATGCCAAACATTCAGTTAATGTAGCGACACTCTTTTGTGGCAGCAGGCTATAAGATTATTAATGTATGTACTGAAGATTTCACCAGCAAGCTATTTCGCAGCACTTATCTAAACATGCATTTATTGTTAATTTTTTTGTCCTCCTAAGCATTGTTATTTATGTTTAAAAAAATGTCCCTCTAAGCAACATATATACAAAACGAAAACTACATACATCGACTATCAAATAGCCCGACTTGCAACGGAGTGCTGCTACATTGACTGCGGGTTTGGTTAGAGTCAGCATCAAGGTCATGCTTAGAGTTAAGGTTAGAACAAGGTTTAAAAATTGTTATATTACTGTAACTAATTGTTTTTGTAAATAGATGGGGAAAAAAAAAAAGAAATATTATATAATAAATAAATAAAAATAAATATAAAAAGTATATTTTTATAATAAAATAATAAATTTAAATATGTATAAATAAAAATAAAATGAAAATAAATAAAAAATTATAAATATGATAAAAATACTAGAAAAAAAGTAAAAAAAAAAAAACTTTACAGCAAGAAAAAAACATGTTCCTGTAAACGCCGACTAGGAGTGCATATATATATATATATATATATATATATATATATATATATATATATATATATATATATATATATATATATATATATATATATGTATATATATATATATATATGTATGTATATATTCATATGTACATACATATATACACACATACATATGCATTAGGTACCAGCAATTTTTGATATTAAGTTGCTTCAAGCTAGAGTAGATAGTTTATTAAAAAAATAATTAAAAAATGGTTTAACTCAAAAATAAAAAAATCAACATAAAATAACCGCTTTAAATACGCCATTTTTTGTAAAATTAAAACGAATATGTCGTTAAGAATAATTAAATTAAACGGAAGTAAAACTTTCCAATGAAAGTTAATTATTCTTTCTGCAATAAGTTGAATAAAAGTTTTTTGTGCAATAAGTTTTTTTTTCTAACTTTATAAAAAATGTCGTAAAATGATATTTTTCAAAGGAGCCAAACATGTATAAAGAGTTGTTAAAAGAATAAATGAATTCTATTATATAAGAAAATATGCGGGAAAATGTTTCACACCAACACTATTTACCATTGTTAAAAATTCTTTAGTTATTACTCAATCTAGTTTGTATTTTATTATAAATTAAATGTAAAAAATTTAAAATTTAATTAAGATATCTGGAAGACTTGCAACTTTCATTTTTTGCCCATTTTTTACCTTTACTAAACCATAGTTTCTTGGTTTAGTTAAGATTCATTTATTTATTATTTACTTAAGGTTACACATTGGGAAAAGGAGCAGTATGGAGAATTTTTTACTGGTGATTCATACATTGTCTTAAATACATATAAAGATGAAGAAGAACTTAAGTATGATGTTCACTTCTGGATTGGGGAGTACTCAACACAAGATGAGTATGCTACTGCTGCATACAAAACCGTAGAGCTTGATACATATTTAGATGACAAACCTATTCAACATCGTGAAGTTCAAGGTTATGAATCTTGTCTCTTCAGGAAGTACTTCCCAAGTAATTTTTTTACCAATTAACTTAAAATGTTCTTAAATATATATATATATATATATATATATATATATATATATATATATATATATATATATATATATATATATATATATATATGTATATATATATATATATATATATATATATATATATATATATATATATATATATATATATATATATATATATATATATATATATATATATATATTTATATATATATATATAGATATATATATATATATGGGTGTATATGTATATAGATATATATATATATATATTAGTGATGTACCGATTAATCAGCATCAGCTTTATCAGCCATTTTTTGCACAATCGGAATCGGTATCGGCATTGGCCACTTACCGATTTTCCACCCGATTGCATTTTAATATTTTTATCCTGCACTATTATAACAATGAAATAATAAATAAACTAAACTTTATGAATTATTTAAAATTTTTTGGATAAATTTTTATTTTGACTTTGTTTACAGGCAAAAGTTTTAAAAGTAACCAATTTAGGCATTGTTATCTATATTTTTTTAATTCTTTCTTACTCCCAACAATGCTGTGAGCAACCACTGTCAAGTTGGGAGTTACTAGAAAAAAAGAGTAGAGTTGTAGAGCAAGGAAACGGTTGACAAAAGACTTGAAGGTTGTATGAGTCAGGAAAACATGAAGATGGGACAGAGTTCCTAAGGGTTGAAGTGCTGGGAAATAAGCTAGACAAATAAATATATTTGGAGCATAAGGAGACATACAGTAAAAGAATGAGACTTTGATAATTGACAAGTCAAGCAGGAATGAGTTTTGGTTGATGGAACTAGTGATTAAAGCTCCTTTGAGCAGCAACCATTATAGTATTTATAAAAAAGAGAAGGAGATGCAACTTTACGACGTTGGGAAAGAGGCTCAAGCTTAGCAGATAGACTTTGTTCAACTCTGTTTACAATGTATTTTTGGACCTTTTCTTGAAGAGAAAGAGCATTTTTAGAAAAACCAACCCAAATGTGACAATAGTATTTCATACAGGGGCGAATAAGAAATTTGTAGAGGTAGAGAATGGAATCAGGAAAGAGAAAATATGAGCATGATAAAGAGAAGCAAGCTTAGCATATGCTATAGGAGTGTCAACAGTACTGCAGTAGTTATTTGAGATAAATAACTGAGTTTTGTTGGAATTTAAATTTACAAGCCACTGTAAGCCCCAATCAGTTACAGATACAATCTTTTTTGCATAGTAACAGACAGCTGTTACTATGCAAAAAAGAGAAGAATTTTTGCCAAGACATTAGTATTAAGTTGAGTCATCAGAAAAAAGAGCTACTTTAGATGTGAGGTTGTCAGGAAGATCATTAATGTAGATAAGTAATAAAACAGGACCAAGGATAAAACCTTGAGGTACTCTAAAATTTCCTGGAAGTAAAGAAGAGTGTTGACCTTTGAGGATGACTTTGTTAAGGCGGTTAGAAAAAAAACGATTTGATAATCTCAAAAATTTCACTGATACACCATATGAAACAAGCTTATGGAGAAGACCAACATGTCAAACTTTGTCAAAAGCCTCAGATATGTCTAGACCAATTGCTTCTAAGTCTCCATCTAATGCACAATAAATTCTTTCAGTCACAGCACGTATTGGTTGTCTGACAGCAGGTTATTTGACTAAAGTTGGAATGTGAGAAATTTAATTATCAAAGACTCAAAGACCTTGCTAATAACAGAAAGAAGACTGATCAGACAATATTTGGAGGGGTCAGTATGTTTACCAGACTTTTTAAAAAAAAGAACAACAGATGCCATTTTCCAGCAGGCAGGAAAACAAGAATCAGTCAAGTACTTAATAAATAGTTTAGAGAAAATTGGTTCCTGAAAAACAATTTTGTATGACTGTGACAGAACCACAAGCCGTAGAAGAGTTTAATCGAGATATGACTATTAGCAATGGAAGCTGAAGTAGTTTGAATGTCTAACAATGGGTTAACCTGTTTAATTAGAATGGAAGGAAGAGAAAGGCCATAAGATTTGAGAGTCAGGTTGGAAGAGAATTTCTTTGCAAATAGTTCAGCCTTATTTCATGTATTTAAGCATAGCCAGGTATCAACTATATTTCTATATTTTTAATTTTTTTATTTCAATTCACCTTCCTGAGGCTACAAAGGCTACTTTAATTGAGGAGGCTTCTTTAGTTATGGCTACAACTCACTCTCAATTTTATAATTTGGAAACACAAACCTTGATTAAACAAGATTAAAATAATTGTTTGGCTTTGATTTGGGTTCAAGTATTTGTTTACCAGTATCGATTTAAAGTTGTATAGGTTTATATTTTCAAATTTTTAATAATTAGTTAATTCATTGGTATCAGCATTGGTATTGGCCTTTTCTCATCCATCAGCATCGGTATTGGCATCAGCCAAAAAAGTGATATCGGTACATCACTATATATATATATATATATATATATATATATATATATATATATATATATATATATATATATATATATATATATATATATATATATATATATATATATATATATATATATATAACAAATAATATTATGTATAATATACAATGTGTTCTAGCTAATATTTTTTTTATTTTTTAGCATTTATCCTACTGAAAGGAGGTGCTGAATCTGGTTTTCGAAGAGTTTTGCCTGAAGTTTATGTTCCAAGATTATTCCATGTCAAAAAGGAAGGCAAGAATATCTCATGTACCCAAATAGGATTGAAACGAGGCAACTTGACATCAGATGATGTATTTATTATTGATGCAGGAGAAAAAATTTACCAGGTAAAAATGGTTATCCAGTTAATTTTATAATACATTTGTGCATTTTTAGCATTCACTCATATGTAAGTTTTTTTTTTGCTTTTTCAGTATGCTTCTGTTTACAGATTTTTTTTTTTTTTTTTTTTTGTGGGGTTGAATTGTAGGCATTTTTTTCCAACTGTTTTTATATTTTATACACTGTATTGTTGTATTGTGAGCTATGTGGCAAGTCTATTTAAGTATTTTATAATTGTTGTTGAAGCATGTTTGATTGATTGTATGAGTAAATGTAATTTATAAATTAAGATCTATTTATAGAAGAGATTTCAAAAACAAGTTATTATTTAAGAACATGTTTAATTAATGCCATAAAGATAAAACTTACTAAATAAGACATTTTAGCTATTTGCATTACTTCATTTTTTTAAACTTTTTTATTTTTTATATTATCTACTTTTGCATGCTTTTCTATTGCTTTATAATAATTATTATTGTTTTCTTTTCAAAAAGACATAATTTTATAAATAGTTTTTATCATTTGCTTCTTTAAAAATTTTTATCTTCTGTTATTTTTTTTACATTTTTCAAAAATTAATTGCCATTCATCATGTTATTACATGCCATTCATTTGTTAGTATCATATATTCGATAATTAGTAACTATAATATATATATATATATATATAAAATTTATGTGTTTATATTTATCCTCAGGTATTAGGGTTGGCACTGTATAAATTATACATTGTATACATATATATTTCCATATATATGCTTTTTTATACATACACTCACACATATTTTAAAATCTATTTTATTTTAGTACAATGGTTCAAAATGCAGTCATGATGAAAAATTCAAAGCTGCTCAAGAAATTGCAAGACTCAAAGGTACTCGCGGAAAAGCTAGAGTTGAAACATTGGAGGAAAATGCTATATCCAATGAACATCCAGCTTTAATGCTTCTAAAAGACGGTGAAAGTAAAAAGGTACATATAGATATATAATCAATATTTTATATGACATGATAAAATATGACATGACAGAAGTAAGACATCAACAAAATAAGGCTTAAGATACAAAGTTATTGATGTATTTAGATATTTTAGAAAGCCTAAAAATATATATATTTTTTATTATATATATATTTTTAGGCTTTCTAAAATAGTTTTTATGTTCAAAATTCTTATACATTTACTTTTTTTTTTTTTTAAGTAAACCATATTATTGGGGATTTAAATACGTTTTGTTGGGTATATTAAGTTATTGTCAATTAAAATAAGTTTCGAATATTATTTGTTCGTTTATAATTTTGGTACTTTATTGAGGTTACAATGTTTTTTTTAAAAAATTCAGGTACAATCTGTTTAAAAAATATATATTTTCTATCGTTAGCTACAATATTCCCAATCTTTCAAGCAGCATACAGATTTAGTTTTAAAATGTTGTATAAGGTGGTCTAAGAATTGATTCAGGTTTCTTCTTATTTTTAAAAGCTGAAGTGTTGCTTGGCCAGACCATGAATCATTAATTAGAACAAGTGATAGTCGAAAGGATCTGGTAATATTGTCAGTGGGGCCGGACATTGAAGCACCTTCGAAGTTTTTGGAGTATTGTCCTGCTGAAAAATATTTGGGGCATTCATGCAAATCTGAAAATATGATTTTTTAATACTTTTTTGTAAATAATAATTATCTGCTTGCTCTGCTAGGCAACTAGATAGTTTTTTTTTAAAAATTTTTTTTGTACAATTTGAGGACTAGTTGTCCTATATTGCTTGACAACCATTATATTTACACCACTGAACTGTAATTAGTAACTCAATTTGTTTCTCTGTTTTGCATTATTAATCATGGACAATAAAATTTTTATTAACATTATTTTATTCTTACAATAGAAAGAAAAATGTCATGGTGAACGAAAAATGTTTAGGTAACTTTATTTGATTTTTTTATACACTTCTTGTCATATATATATATATATATATATATATATATATATATATATATATATATATATATATATATATATATATATATATATATATATATATATATATATATATATATATATATATATATATATATATATATATATATATATATATATATTTTTTTTTTTTTTTCATTTGTTTCTATGTTTAATTTCGAGTTTTTATTTCTGATTTTATTATAATTAAAATGAAAGTTCTTAAAAATAAAAGTTTATCAAAGTTTGTTTTTAAAATTGAGTGCCATAAAAAAGAGCCATTTTTAAAACTGAGAAGCATAAAGTTTAATGCATTAGGTTTTGCAGGTTTTTTTTAACTTTAATGCTGTTGCAAATTCGAAAAAGAGAAAAAGTATATATATTTGTTGTGTATAGTGTTTAAAGTTAAACTGCAACTAATAATGTTTAAAGTTAAACTGCAACTAATACTGCAACTAATTCTGTCAATTGATGTTGCTGCCATTTGTTTCAAAATGGTTTGATTTGATCTCAACTTTAGCAGTTAGCTTATCATATGCATCACATTGTTTTGCACGCGATAGTGTTGGTGGTTCTAAAATTTAATAGTGTTGATGGTTTTAGAATTTTGATATATATAAAAAAAAAAGTTATTTTATGTTTCAGTTTTTAGATACGTTAGTCTATCGACTAAAAATTCTATTTTTGCCATCCATTCAATCCATCAAGTTTTGTCAGTAAATAATCAAATAAAACCCATCCATTTAATTGGATCATCATCCATACTAGTGTGATATTGTTTGATGTTACAAACAAATGAATTAGTTCTTCATAAATTTTTTTCTTTAAACCAAAATGTACTTCGTGTGGATTAACACAATAAAAACAACTAAGAAAGTTATTTCTAGAATTTTTTCCAAAAAAATTATATAATTTTTAATATAGGAACGCTATTTTGTACAGTAAAAATTTAAGTTAAAGTGAGATAATGGAGTCTTCCAAAGCATTATATGAATATAAATTATCAAATTATGTTGTATTTAGCGTTATTTATATTATAGTTAGGCGTGTTTTACGCTTCCTAGATTACAATGTGTTAAAACCGCCCCATAGATTAAGATAAAGTTAGAGAAGGAGATAGATAAAGGAGAAAAAAATAACGGAAAATATTTTCCGGATATTTTCCAGTTATCTGGAAAATACTTTTCAAATTAAAAAAAAAAAAAATCCACACGATCTATGCATTTTCTAATTTTATAGTTAAAGTAAAATTTATTTACTTTAGAGTAAGTGATGCTGATGGAAGTCTAGACATGGATCCTGTCGAAGGAGAGATTAGTAAAGATAAACTTACAAGTGATGATGGTATGGTTTTAATTCTTTCATTAAAAAGCTGCGTGTGTGCGAGCGTGTGTGTGTGTGTATCAATGTTTTTAAAATAAGCAGAAGATTAATAAGATATTTTTATCTTTTTCAGTTTATATAATCAACACTGGTGAGCATGTATATTGTTGGATAGGATCTGGAGCAAGTATTGATGAACGTAAGAACGGTCTTGCTTATGCCAGCAACTATTTAAGTCAAACTGAAACACCTTATTTGCCCATCACAGTTGTTGCAGAAGGCAAAGAAAATGACGACTTTAAAAAAGCATTTTAAGTTCTTAGATGAATTGACTTACCTTCTAGAAATGTTTAAATATAAGTTGTTGTGTTCATCGTTGCTTGAATGTAAATTATTCTCTGTTTATAATGTAATTTCAAAAATGCACTATGTGCGTTTTTGAAAATTGCACTATATTCATTGTTACTAAGATGCAAGTTGCATCGTGTAGCTTTTACTACAAATGTTTCTTTTATTTTATATATATATATATATATACATTTTTTATATATATCCTTTTTTTTTTTTTTAATTAATTTTATAATTGAGTTATATTTTTGGTGTACGGATTTGTTAATAAAATGAAAACTATAAGTTACTTTATTTTCGCGCGCATTGAACCCACTTTGCTTTGAAATTGTTTGCTTTTGCCCATTAAGTCGAGTTGTAAGTGGAAAACTAAACCTAGAACTAAAAAATTTTAAAATATATGTTGAAGTGGTTGTATGGGTGGTTAAAATGGGTGTTTAAAATGATTAAACGCTAGTAAAGTAATTTTTTTAAACGATTAACAAAACTTATAACTAACAAGTTATACAAATACTTTTTTGCACCTTGGTACTCTCCGTATTTTTTAAAATATTGTCAAATCTTTGCGACGTTGAATGAATGGATCGGTTGAAAATTTTAATTAGTTTTTGTGTTTTTTTTTTAAATAGTTAAATTTTACGAAAGCGATGGATTCTTTCTGAATATTAGGGTGTCCATCTTTTTTACAACTTTTCTTCTTTGATTGCGTTGTAAGTATGTACGATTTATAACAATGTTTTTAGAGGTTTACATGAGCACCTTCCACCTATCGTAGAGACCTGGATTTTTTTTCATAACATGATCCGTCTAACATTTTGTAAAAACGCGATCCATTTATACAATAGGTAAACTCCTTTTTAGTGTTCTTGCGTTTCAATAAATTTAGATGTAAACATTTTTAAAATCTCCAAGAAACAATTTTTTAAAATGAAGTTCAAATGGGTCAAATCTAAAGAAAAATTTTTTTTCTCCCTTCAAGTTCTATTGAAGAAAAGGTGTATTTTTTAAAAAAAAATCTTTTTTAAAATTTGGTTTTACTGATATGTATGCAAGATAAAAAGACAGGCAATTGTGAGCTTTTTAAAGTTATATATACATTTTTTAAATTGTTTTATTACATTTTGCGCCAACAGGCTTAGGGTAATTTTTTACAAATCTTGAAAGTTTTACTGCTTATGAAATATCTGAAAACTTGATTGTGCTACAGACAAGTATATAACATACTTCATAGTTAAACATCTTTAAAAAATGTGTTGAAAAAATTGAGTTCCCTAACGTTATTTAGAGATTATCTTTTTCCGGATATTTTTTTCAACTTTTAGTTTTTCCGGATATCCAAAATATTTTCAATACATGCAAGTTTAGGTATATATTTTTGTAACATATTTATTTTTAGGCTTTTTCACTCATCACTTAAAAAAGAATTATGAAAAGTATCAAAAAAAATTAGAATCAACTTAACTAAAAGCGAAAAAAATAAATACGGGAAAACAAATTTCGGATTTTTTCCGGATATTTTTTCCAAACCATTGTCCGGATTTTTAAAATATGACTAGGATAATATATGGTTATTGGATTACCTTACGCCAAGTATATTTTTAAATTTACACAAAAATTGCGCGTGTTCAATCAAGCAACATCTTTAAAGTTTTGAATATTGCGCAAAGTGTTGTGACTGCGATTGAGATCTAAAAAGTTTAAATTTAAAATATACTCATGTATTTTCTTAAAAACCAATTAACGGCGATGGGTGGGGGGAGATAATCTATCACCCCCTGCCTCCCCCCAAAAAATTTTCAATAAGAGAGCCAACCGCTATTTTCACATTGAAATCCATAACCATGGCTGCTTCAAGACCCCCTCCCAACTTCTATGACTTTCTCAACTCACAAGACTTAAGTCTTGTGAGTTGAGAAAATTTTTAGTATGTTAATACTGATATCGAATGAAAATGACTTGCAAAAAGTTTAGGTAATTGGAGCTAACCCAACCCCGTCCCGACCCCTAATTGCCCTCTTCCTAGAACTACGTCTCCTAAGATAATAAAACTTTTATTTAAGTTCGATCATAAATTAGACCAAAATTTATCGAGAGATTTCAAGTTTCATCAAAAAATCTCTTTCCGTTTAAGATTTATGACCATAAGAAGTTTAAAATTCCACAAGCTTACCCCCTGAAATAACTTTGAATAGTCGTAACTTTTAAACTAGACATTATTTTTTGATGAAATTTGAAATCTGTCGATATATTTTAATTTAGTATAATAAAACAAAAAAAAAAGATTTGAGAAATTTGTTTTAGGAACCATACACTAGGGGTGGGGGTGGTGGTGAGGGTGGTTTGGGATTAGAGATCTTCCCTAACACTGCAAAATTGCATTAAAAAAAACATGGCCACGAGCATTTATTTTCGAGTTTTAATAGTGAAATTGCAATCTGAACTATTAAATTTATTAATTACTTACTACTATTTCTATTTCAGTTATTACTATTATTTGAATTTAGTTATTTCAATTACTATTTAAAATATTAACAATTAGCAACGCCTAATCGTCGCTAATTGTTAATAATTAAAATAGTAACGCGCGTTGAGTTTAGAACTAAAAACATACTTTTGGTCATTAAATAGAAATTTAATTAATGGGGCTGATAGATCATGCCAATATTATAAATGTACATCAGAAGTTTTTATTTAAAGCATTCATTTAAAATTTCTAACCATGCGAACGAACACGTTGATTTTGTTAAAATGTTTTTCATTTGCTGCTTCAGCAAACGCAAAGATTTAAGACCTATAATTAATGACGAAAAAACAATAAATCTAAATAAAAAGAAAAAAGACTATTCAAACCTTATCAAATGGAAAAATTAGTCAGCTAATAACTTAAAATTCAAAAACTCCATTTTTTACTCAAATTGTAGAAAAAAAATTGCTGGGACTGACCCTTACTTCATTATGCGACCGTGTTATGAAGTTAAAATATACATATTTATATATAATGTACTTTAGTTAAAATTTAGTTGCGTTATTATAGGGACAATAGTTACTAGACATACACTTTAAAATTTAGACCTGAATACCAGAGTTTTCAGAGGCAGAAAATATGAATGTTTATATGTGAAAATGGGCGAAAATCAAAAATGGAAAAAATATTGGCCCTTTTGATTAAATGTGTTTCGGTAAAAACTGTATAAATATGCCAAAGACGTTTCAAATAAACCTGCAAAAAGACTTATTAGTCCAGATTGCTATGTTAATGTGTCACAAGGAATTCTACATCCCTGTACGAAATTAGAAAGACATAAAAATTTGATTGCTATTGCAAGATCAACATCCCCTACAACGCAAGGAAGAGTTCTGTCCAGTTCTATTAAAGGCTTGAACATAAATGAATCAGGGAACACTTTAGCTTTGAAAACATTTGGTTTAAAGCAACTTTTTGTCTCTGTTGGAAAGACTGAGGTTAAAAAAACTTTCTTTTCTTTGAATATATTGAACAAACTTTTACTAAAACTATATACTAGATAAGGTTTTGAAGCTTAGAAATATTTTTATAATAATTTACTTATGAATTTAAAGCCAATTTTTTCAATAATTTTGTTATGACTTCTAAGTAACCGCAATATATTTAAAGTTGCACACTTTCTGAGAAGTGAAGGAGGATAGAAAAGTGTGGAATCTGGTTTCCATATTAAACTGACTGAGAGCAACCGGCTGGTTGGAAAGTTATTCGATAGTGATAAATTCCCATTATTATTAGGAGTAAATGAAAACAAAGAGGTTAGTAATCTATTACCTACAATTTTTTAAAACAACTAGAATGCAATTTGTATCATTCAATTTGAATCTTTATTCAAAAATAGTTGGTAGAAAAAAATACTCCTCTGGTGTATTGCAATGACGTTGAAGAGCTTGTAGCAATGGTGCTTCATCACAGAGGATGAAGCACCATTGCTACAAGCTCTTAGAGGGCAGGGATTACTTTTTTTTTTTTATATATATATATTTCGCTGTTTATATAAAAATAAAATAATAAAATTACAATGAGACTTTTAGATTACACAAAGAATATATATAAAGCAGACAGAGGCTCAAAGGAGAAAAGGATGACTGATGTCACCACAATCTTTTCATAGAGCTCCTTTACAATATCAATTAAAGCCCTCTTAGCTTTAGAAAATTTACAACAAATATTAATTATTTGATGTAAATTTAAAAATAAATAGAAAATTTAAACAAATGTTAAATACTACGTGAAGAGTAAAGAAAAACTCATATATACATATATACACATATATACATATACCCATAAAAACACACACATATACAAACATTCCTACATATATGTCAGAAATTTAGGGGATGCAGTTTCATTTGTCGTTTAAAAGAGATAGTACTTTTCAAATTTTTTATATTGTTATTTTTTAATTGATTTCGTAATGACGGACCTTCGCTAATAATTGAGAATTTCGACACTTGCGATTTTACTATGCTCAAGTGATAGTTATGGTTGTTATATGACCGAAGATTGTATTTTTGTGAAAATGCTTATAAATAAATATAACAAATATTAATATTTATACATAAATATTAATATTTGAAGTGAATTAAGTTTTGATATATTTAAAACATTCATGTATTTCATTACAGGGGAAGGGTTTTCTAATCTCTTTAAATAGTTAACTGCTTTACATGCGTGGTTTTGTAGGCTTTGTAATCTTAATAACTTAGTTTTGTGTGTGTTACCCCAAACAATATTAGCATAGGAGAGATGACAATGAACAAGACTGAAGTAAAGCATTTTGCGTGATTTATAATCAAGAAAGGCCCTTGATTTATATAATACACTTATAGCAGAAGATATTTTTGCTTCAATGAGACTAATATGTTTTTTCCATGATAGGTTCTCATCAAATATTACTCCCAAAAACTTTGAATGATTTACTCGATTTATTTCATTTTTATTGATTGACAGTTTTAGCAACTTTAATGGAAGATTAGTTGATTGTCTTATTTTATGGAAGA